CAATATCCATGCTCTTGTTATTAGAGGCATTATAATTATTACAATGTTATTGACATTACTAATAGCAATAGGATGTAAAAGAAAATATTTACAAAAATCAAGGAGAAGGGTAAACAGGTGAGATGTAGTACTAATAACTGGCTCATTAGTGACTTTGTACCTATGAAGCCATCTTATATGTAAAGACACTTAAACGTAAATGGTCCTAATTTTTTCTTATTGCCTTTAAATTTTTTCTCAGGTAATCCCTCAGCTGATTGCTCGCATTGACACCCCGCGAACACTGGTTGGAAAGCTGATTCACCAGCTTCTAATGGATATTGGCAAACATCATCCACAGGTAAATGATAATGTTACATCCGTTTGACTATGGAATTTTTGCCAACTTTATATTGGCACTGCACAGACTTGAATTTAGATGTTATATGTTAGGATGTACATTGTAGGTTGATATGTTATTTATGATTTCAGGTATCATTTGAGTGTTTATTACCTTTATTTTTTACTTTGTGGTTCTCTTTTCAGGCCCTTATCTACCCCTTAACTGTGGCTGCAAAGTCTTCTGTTGTGGCACGTTCACAGGCAGCAGAGAAGATCCTCAAGAACATGCGTGAACATTCTGCAAATCTAGTCCAACAGGCCATGATGGTAGGTTGCTATTCTAGCTTAAGAGAGGTGTATGCATGAGAGATAGAGAGACTTTATCCAATTTGAGTTTGTTTTTATCCACATATTGTAAAGTAGTATGAAGTTTTCCTTAACATGGATTTGGCAAGAAGCTTAGACACCATTTTAAAAAGTGGCTCGAGACCCATCTTGCTTGAGGATTGGGAATGAAATCAATTCTAATACTTGCAGTTTGGTAAAAAGATTTCTGTAAAATTACAATCCATGACGAAAAATTATTCTTTGAGAAATCAGCTGTCAGTTTTTTTGTTCTTTTTGTGAAGTAAAAGTTTATTATGCGGGAGAAAGTGCCTTTCGGGGGGAAATGAGCTGGCTTTACACTGTTAGTGTAATGTAAGACAAACCACACAGACCAAAATATGGACTGCAGTGGATATATCTGTTTGGTGTAGTAAGACTTCACTGGTAAATTTGTAGGGTAGTAACCTCTGAAAAAGCTTCAGGAGCTGTTTGAAGGCTGAAGGTTAACAGTTATGGATTAAGCTTCTATATTCATCATTCTTGGGAAATAAACATTGCTTTATGTTATAATTCTCATTTCTTATTTCTGTATCTTTAGACATACTTTGAAATTTATGCATGTATGGTCCAATTAGATTTGTAAATAATCCTTCTCAAAAAAAAAAAAAAAAAAAAAAAAAATGTATGGGGTCAACATTTCAGATAGTGAGGATGTGGACCTAGCAAATCTTGTGTAACTTTTTGAAGGATGGAAGGTTTTGATAATACTTCTGTCTTAAATTTCCCCCAAATTGCATTTTTGACCATTTTTGTAGGTGTTTAGTTTCCTCAAAGAGATCATTTGATAACATGATCTCGTAATTTGCAAGTGATAGGAACATGTAACCCAATTACCTTTTAACATGCCATAACTTCTCACATTTCTTATCTTACAGGTATCAGAGGAGCTAATCAGGGTAGCGATCCTGTGGCATGAGATATGGCATGAGGGTCTAGAAGAGGCTAGTCGACTGTACTTCGGAGAACGCAACGAGACTGGGATGTTCCGCACACTAGGGCCTTTGCATGCCATGATGGAACGTGGTCCACAGACGCTCAAGGAAATGTCCTTTAACCAGGTTAGTATTGGAACATCACTCTCTCTCATATTTGAAAGATTTTACATACAAGTTTCAGTAATTAAATCTTAGTTTTGAATTGGAGGTTTTATTTATATGAAAAATCAGAAGATTCATGCTTTTTTACTCAAATTTTAATATTATAAATGATTGTAATAAAAGGGTATGTTTTAAAAAAAGGAGAATGATAAAGTTCTGGTTATCATAATTCTAATTTTGTGGTTGTGACAAAATGCCAGATACAAGAGGTAATTTATGTAGATGAAGTAGCTATGTGGATTTTCAGTATATATGCATACACCTATTTTTTACAGGCATATGGTCCTGACTTGCGAGATGCACAGGAGTGGTGCCGTCGTTACCAGCGGACAGGAAATGTGCGTGAATTGAACCAGGCTTGGGACTTGTACTATCACGTGTTCCGCCGTATCTCTCGTCAGTTACCGCAGCTGACATCTCTGGAGCTCCAGTCAGTCTCTCCAAGACTCCTCAAGTGCCGGGACCTGGATATTGCCGTGCCAGGATCCTATGCTCCAAACTCCCCTGTCATCTGCATCAGTCAAGTCCAGTCATCTCTGCAAGTCCTTACTTCAAAACAGAGGCCACGGAAACTCTGCATCCGAGGCAGCAACGGCAGGGACATTGTCTTCTTGCTGAAGGGTCATGAGGACCTGAGGCAGGATGAGAGAGTTATGCAGCTATTTGGTCTGGTCAACACACTTCTGATCAGCAACCCCGATACCTTCCGCCGCAATCTTACCATTCAGAGATTTGCCGTCATTCCATTGTCTACCAACTCAGGTCTCATTGGCTGGGTACCCCACTGTGATACGCTTCACGCCCTCATCCGAGACTGGCGCGAAAAGAAGAAAATCCTCCTGAACATAGAGCACAGGATCATGATGCGGATGGCCCAGGATCTGGAACACCTCACCCTCATGCAGAAAGTAGAGGTCTTTGAACATGCGCTCGAACACACACAGGGTGATGACCTCGCTCGCCTCCTTTGGTTCAAGAGCCCCTCCTCAGAAGTGTGGTTTGACCGCCGTACAAACTATACACGTTCACTGGCGGTAATGTCCATGGTTGGCTATGTCCTGGGTCTAGGTGACCGTCATCCATCCAACCTCATGCTGGATCAGCTGTCAGGAAAGATTATTCATATTGACTTTGGCGACTGCTTTGAAGTTGCCATGACCCGTGAGAAATTCCCGGAAAAAATCCCCTTCCGTTTAACTCGTATGCTTATAAATGCCATGGAGGTGACTGGAATAGATGGTACTTACCGCATGACTTGTGAGTCTGTCATGAGCCTCATTAGACGAAACAAAGATTCTCTTATGGCTATGCTTGAAGCCTTTGTGTATGATCCTCTGCTGAATTGGCGTCTCATGGACCATGCTCAGCCAAAGAGTAAACGCTCAGTGGTCGGGGAAACCGTCAGTGGCGGTGGTGTAGCAGCAACAGACCCTGGACACACCCCAATAATGGAAGCAGCCTCTACATCGTCAGGGGCGCCCACGGGTTCTCAGACCAAGAAAATGGAGGTCAGAGAAGACTCCGGCGCATCAGAAGCACTCAACAAGAAAGCAGTAGCAATTGTCAATCGCGTTCGTGACAAGCTCACTGGCAGAGACTTTAACAATGATGAACCACTTGATGTACATAAACAAGTGGAGCTGCTTATTGCTCAGGCCACATCTCATGAAAACCTGTGCCAATGCTATATTGGATGGTGTCCATTCTGGTAGACGTTCACATGTCTAATGTTTTGTGGGGGAAGTTCTGTTGGACTATATATATCCACAATAAATTGTGACATTAATATGGTCAAAATACACTCTTTTTCATAACAAAGATGGTGTAAAACACTTCGCTGACTAAGTTTTTGTAAACCAATTTTATATATTTTTAGTTTTAAATGTTACATCAGTCTAAGTGACTGCCTTTGATCATTGTTTCATTTTTTGACAATATGAAAAATTCATATCAGAATCCAAAGGATGCTAAAACTTATTTGCTGGATGAATACATGGCAGTAGATGAACCCAGTTTTAATTTTTGGAATTAAGAAAACTAGGAGAAGATATTTTTCTCTGTCTTTGTTTGTGATTACAAATGATCTAAAGTTTACAAATAGTAATACTTTTTCAGTGCAATTTAGCATTCATCAAATTGCTTTACTCTTAGATTACTGTTCTTTGTTAGAGATTTATAGAGTAGTTTATGCGGTCTCATTTGTGAAGATTACTTATTTACTTCAGTGCAAAACATTCATGATGGGGAGAATTTTAAGGGTGGAACAAAAGCTTATGAATGAAAACCGATCATATCGGCATTCATCTATCGGAATAACAGGGAAGCATGGCTAACTGTTAAACCAATACTATTTTAATTTTTTTATCATTGTCTTACCATTTATTTATATGTTAGACTCAGCTGCAAAACAAATTTTGTAAATAATCATCAACTACACGCTGATCCTGTTTTGCGCCTTCGACTCCCCTGTCGGGGCGGATGTACCTAAGTGGGACTATTCGCCTGACTGGAAGCCATCCTAACAACTGTGGTCAGGCCAGGGGATTCTAACACACACACCCTGCACAGGGATTCAGAACACCATCCCACTGAAGCGCTGCAGCGGCAGTGATTATATACACAACAAAAGGTAAAACCAAGAGAGATGCTGCTGGAAATAACATAGTTAAAAGTGGAAATACTATGAAAATAAAACAAACATGATTCTAGCTGAAGTTTGATTTACCTGTCGATAGATTTGCTTTTAATGTAAACATTCGAATACTTTCAGTACTATGAGCAATCTCTCATTATTTTAATCAAGCTTTATTTTATGATTTCACTGACAAATGAAAAAGTAGTGTTCAGTGTTTGCATCTCATATAAATTCAGTTTTTGTTGTCAATAAGGTCCAATGTTGCCAGACTAACAGCCTGCTAATGGTACAGATTTTGTTTAAGTATTGCACAGTAATGATCGTACTCTAGTACTATTGTCATTTGCATGCTTTTGTTAAAAATGGGTACCTGTATGCAGTAGTCTGTAAAGTCGGATGCAATTCTCTTCCTCATTTTTTGGAGTTATTTGGTTCAGTATCACTGTATTTTTCTATTTTGATGGGTGTTCGTCAGTTGACAAGGATATATACATGCACTTACACCAACCAAAAACTTGACCAGTTAAGAGAGGAGACAATGAAAACAATAAAATAACCAATGCAAAATATTTATTCATACGTGTAAGATACTTCTGTGAGATCTCCCACGCTTTAAAAAGGGAGGAAAAACAAATATTAATTTTACATTATTAGGCACTGAGGTAGTTCCGGCAGGGTTCAGCTTATGATTGATACAGGTCAGTCTATCAGACAAAGTATTTACCACAAAAAACTTTCTATAGAATAAAAGCATAAATAAATATTGAATAAATGAAAATCATTCCACAGACAAGAACAAAAGCAATTAAAAAAATGTCCTATAGAAAGAACAAGAGGGAATGCGACATCAAAACCTAATAATGATACAAAACATAAATACCCATACCTCAACAAAGAAAATAACCTATAAAAGAGAACGAAAGAAAAAAACAAATAGAAACCTATTCTCTCCTACGCGTTACCACAAGCGACCTCAACAGCTTTCGCATAGTCATCCGCCTCCTTCTGAATGCTCTTCATGGCCTCGAGGTTGGAGAATATGCTCACTACCAGCTGGGTTAAGAGACGTTCGCTATAATACGATTTCGCGGGCCACAGTCCCTCCATGAATCCAATATGGCCGCCTCTTACCGTTACTACAAGCGCCACGTGACTTGATTTGCTGGCGGCTCCGAAAGGGTTGTCTGCAATGTTATTATTGTTATTATTATTATTACTATTATTATTTTATTAATTATTTCTTTGGGGTGTTGTTTATTGGAGTAATTGTGCTTGTTTATTGGAATAATGACTGAGACGTTTTTTAATATTTTTTTGCGCATTGCAAGTCATTCAGAAACAGGGATGATATCAATCAGATGATGAACGGGAATATAAACAGTGAAGAAGAGGAATGTAAATTAATGGAAGAAGAAGAAAGAGTAAAGATGAACAAGGGAAAGTATGATGAAGAAGCAAAACAAGAAGAAAAGGAAGTATAGAATAACAGAGACTGGAACATAATAGTAGAACAAGAGGAATAAAATAAAAGAACAGAAGAAACTCAATAAAAGACGAAGAAAACGAAAAAAAAACAAAGATAAACAAGAAGAATAAAAATAAACCCATTCTCTCAATAAAAGAAAACGAACAATACAAACAAAACAAAACAAAACAAAATCAAAAACAAACAAGAAGATAATAAACCCTCTCCAAAGAATCACAAAAAGACCTTACCCTCCAACGGCTGGAAAATATCATCGCCGCTGTTGAGGCAGAGGAAAGGCACCTTGATGTAGTCCAGCTTATGGTACAGAGTCGACGCCTGGTAATAGTGCTCAGCGTCGTCGAACCCGAACTGCTTGGCCGTGAACCTCGTGTCGAACTGCCGAACCGTTATGCTCTGCGGGAGGAAGAAGGTTTATAACTAAGGGAGTGTAGACTACACAATGGTCTAAAACCCTATAAAAAAAGAAAGAAGGTTTATAACTAAGGGAGTATAGAGTACAAAATGGTCTAAAATCCTATAAAAGAAGAAAGAAGAAGGTTTATAACTAAGGGACTACAAAATGGTCTAACATCCTATAAAAGGAGAAAGAAGAAGGTTTATAACTAAGGGAGTATAGACTACAAAATGGTCTAAAACCCTATAAAAAAGAAAGAAGAAGGTTTATAACTAAGGGAGTATAGACTACAAAATGGTCTAACATCCTATAAAAGGAGAAAGATGAAGGTTTATAACTAAGGGAGTATAGACTGCAAAATGGTCTAAATTCCTATAAAAGAAAGAAGAAGAAGGTTTATAACTAAGGGAGTATAGGCTAGAAAATGGTCTAAAACCCTATAAAAGAGGAAAGAAGAAGAAGGTTTATAACTAAGGGAGTATAGGCTAGAAAATGGTCTAAAACCCTATAAAAGAGGAAAGAAGAAGAAGGTTTATAACTAAGGGTGTTTAGACTACAAAATGGTCCAAAACCCTATTAAAGAAGAAGAAGGTTTATAACTATGGGAGTATAGGCTACAAAATGGTCTAAAATCCTATAAAAGAAGAAAGAAGGTTTATAACTAAGGGAGTATAGACTACAAAAGAAAGTTTATAACTGCGTCTGTGTTCATTTGTTTCTGCCTGCTTTACTTGTCTGTCTGTCTTTCTTAGTCTGGTTTACGTTCGTTTGTTTGTCTGTCTCTGTCTGTTCAGAATACGTGGATATGAAGTTCAAATGTAAGTCGTTCTGTTTGTCTCTATTTCTATCTGCGTGTTAATCCACCTGTTTCTGCTTGGTTCCCTTTGTGTGTCTGTGGATATCTCATTCCTGAATTACATGCTGTACTTCTACTAGTCTGTATTTGTCTGTGCGTTCGCCTATATCTGCCTGGTTTTCTTGTCTGTCTGTCTGTCTGTCTGCCTTTCTGCTCATGGCCCTTGCATCTGGCTTTCAGTGTAACAGTTTATTTCTGTCTTTGCCTTTACATTTCGCACATTTCTACCTGACACTTTTCTTTTGGTCAATGCAAATGTATTCCTGTTTGTTTATTTGCCCCGTATTATGTGCCCCATATTATTTTTTTATCATTTTGTCTCTCTTTCTGCCTGCACGACTGACTTCCTGACTGTTGTCCATCTCTACTTTCTGTCGCGCCCACACCCACAGTCCAACCGCCACCCCAACACCCCAACTTCCACCAACATATACTCTACAAATAATAGTTCATAATGTAAAAAATAAATAAATAAATAAATAAATAGATAAATAAAAAGAAGAAAAAAAAGGAAGAGAAAGACTCCTAACCTCCAACACCTCCTTGATGTCCAACAGATGGTCTCCCTCCAGCTGGTACCGATGGAGCCTGACCAGTCCCTTGAGGCAGTAGGCCAGGTACTGGTTGAACAGGAGGCTGAGCCCCGGCCGCTCGATGTACCGGATTCCCTGCACCAGATTCCAAGGCACGGACTGCACCGCCGCCGCCACCAGCTTCTTCGCCGCCGCCTCCTTCCGCGTTGTCAAGTAGTGCCCGATGATGAGGCTGTTGCAGAGGGGAGGGAAAGCAGATGATGATGGCGGGGATACAAAGGGATATATAAGACAGCGATAAGGGTCATGGTAGCACGGCGGAAGGACAGGCAGCGCGACCTCACCCGCCTAAGGAAATGCCGACGGCCATGACTGGGGCTCCGGGGCGAGTGACGGCCACGTGGTCTAGGGCCTCCTCGAGGTCGTCGCTGTTGGCGGCGCAGTAGGTCCTGGTTGTCTGTCGTGGAGCGAGAGAAGGGATGAATTTGGACGAAGGGAACTGTCACACACACACACACACACGCACACACACACACACACACACACACACACACACACACATGTATATAATGTACACACACATGTATATAATACACATATACATATAATGTACACACACACACACATATAATGTACACACACACACACACACACACACACACACACACACACACACATGTATATAATATATGTATGCATATATAATATATATTTTTTTTTTTTTTTGAGAATTTCTGATATATAGTTTTTTTTCTTGTTTTTTCCTTTTCTTTTTGAGTACTGACAAAGAAAAGTGATGAATTCAGACATATATCTCACTGTTTTTTTTCCTGACACAGACAAACAACTATTTAAACAAACAAAAAACAAACTTACGAACTAAATGCAACGAAAACATAAACACAAAAAGAAACACAGTAAGGTACCCGCGAGTACAGATATAAAAGGAACCAAACTCCAAATTTAAAGTTATCCCAAAATGTTCGTTACCTACTAATCAGACGTCTAATCTTACTCAAAACATCACTCTCCATCATTCCCTTAAACACTGCATCTCCCCCCCCCACGTGCTTCAACACAGATAAAAAAAAGAAAAAGAAAAGAAAGAAAGAGAGAAAGAAAAAACAAAACACCAACAAGCAAAAGTCTCGACCACCACTTCGAAGCGGGTCCGAAACGCGTCCCGCCCACCTTGAGCTCCATCCCTCCCGTGCCCCTGCTGTTGAGGACGGCGCAGGAAATGCCCATCTTGTGCAGCGACATCACCATCCCGATCACGTACACGCTGTCGGAGGCCCCTGTGAGACCAGGCAGAACGACGGCGACAGGATTGGCTCTCCGTTCGGACGCCTCGAGCCAGTCCAGAGCCACCTCGCCGCCGTCCTTTAACCGGAGGACCTCCCTGGGGGTAGCAGAGGGAAATATTTTGGGGTTGTTAGGACGCTTCTCTCCTCTAGATAAAATGAATAAATAAATAAATAGATAGATAAATAGACCGATAAGTAGGTAGATTGATAGATAGGTAGATGGATAGATAGGTAGATGGATAGATAGATGGATAGATAGATAGATAGATAGATAGACAGATAGATAGATAAATTAATTGATATTTGGGAAAGATGATGATTGATAGTCAGGCCGAATTCTACTAAACCATGATAATCAGAGGACCCTTGTAAAGTAAAAACAAATCTTACAAAACTTTAAAAAAAACAATATCATTTAATCACTAGCACAAGCAGAAGAAAAACCCTCTAATGAACGCAGAAACCAATGAATTCTAAAATGTCAACTTGGGGGACCTTCCCAATGCGAGGTCCCAAAGCAGAGGTTATTATCTATCCGATGCACAAAACGCGTCCCTGCATCTCACCTTTTGTAATCTATGGGGCGAATGAAGGCACGCGAAACAGAGGCGAAGAATGTCTGTAGGTGGGTGTCTATGCACCATGGCGTCGGCCAGTACTTCTCTTGGAGGACGGTCAGGTTCTCCTCCAGGAACAGTCTCCAGGCGCTGTTCCTGCAGGCAAACAGGGGGCGCTGGAAGGGAGAAGGAGACGAGGTGTGTCAGATTTTGATTTTGTTTATGGCTGAATTTATCCGTCAGTTTACAAGAAAGGATGGGGAGGTAGCCACAGAGAGGGAGAGAGAGAGAGAGAGAGAGAGAGAGAGAGAGAGAGAGAGAGAGAGAGAGAGAGAGAGAGAGAGAGAGAGAGAGAGAGAGAGAGAGAGAGAGAGAGAGAGAGAGAGAGGCCGACAGACAGACAGAGGCGTGCGTGCGTGCATGCGTCAGTTTACAATAAAGGATGGAAAGACAGTCACAGATACACAAACATACACCCACATCCACTTACCCACCGACTCTCACATACACACACATGCGCAACACAGTAACTACATATCTATCTAAAGTGTATCAATCAATATAAAATCTATTTATCTCTGTCTCTCCAAATTGGTGGTTCACACACACTAGACATGTACCCCTGAGATGACTGTTGGAGTAAACAAGAAAAAAAGGAAGAAAAAGGCGAGAAAAACAGAAGAAAAAGAAGAAAAAAATAACACCAACTCACAGATGCTTCAAGTTAGAACAGACCTAATTACTTTAAAACTACCCAAACCATATAAAAAAATCTTCCAGTTTGCAGTTAAAATTTTCGTTCACTTTCGGCAATTATCACTAAGATCCTTATTTTTTTGCATAAACGAAAGACGTAACTAATTCACAAAATCTAAAAGCAAGGACCGAAACTTAGGGGATACGAGTGAGAAAGTTATTCCTTTTTTATTTTGTGAAATTGTTGTATATTTGTTAAACGAAATGAAATAAAAAACAACTTAGATAAGGTTGGATGATGAAATAAGACCCTATATAAGATAGATTAAAAAATTAATGGTGTTAGCTAAAGGATTTAGTCGAAGGTTTGGGACCTACTGCTACGTAGCATAATCTCCCTCTGTCTCTCATTCTCCGCCCCCTCTCTCTCTTTCTCGTTCTCTTTTTCTTTTCTTTCTCTCTCTCTCTCTCTCTCTCTCTCTCTCTCTCTCTTTCTTTCTCTCTCTCTCTCACACATACACACACGCACACACACGCACGCACGCACGCACGCAAAAAAACATAAATCACAGTATAAAGAAACCGTTAAATACAATAATTTAAGAGCCTGAGGAAGAGAAAAAGAAACGGGAAATAAAAAGAAAGATGAAGATACATATAAAGGAATATAAAAAAGGAAAAAGAAAGAAAAAGAAACACTAGAAAGAGAAAGATCAACAAAAAACAAAGGAAGAAGAAAAAGAAAAGAGAAAGAGAAAGAAAAAAAGAAAGAAAAGAGACCAAACTAATAAACAAAATAAAACAAAAGAAAAGACAAATAGATCAAGAAAAAGGAGAAAAAGAAAAGAAAACACAAAATAGAAAAGAAAAAGAACAAAAAACACAAAAAAGAAAAGAAAATAAATAAAACAAAAACATAGAAAATAAAGAAAACAACAAAAACAAAAAAGAAACAAAGAGACAGAAGCGAACCAAAGCCTATAGACGGACTGGAACATCACCTTATTTGGGCGTGTCTGTTATGGGAGATTAGGTCAGCCTGGGTCAGCTGAACGTCTTGCCTGGCGCTGGACACAGATCGAACGCACATCCACTATGCATGGCCACTTGCAGACACAAGCACTCACAAGCACACTGGCGGATTCGAAGTCAGATATTTACGTACCTGTAGCAAGCACACGCACTCATGCATACATACATGCACGTACAGACACGCATGCATGCATACATACATACACACGTGCATACACACACTTATACACGCATATACACTTAAAAATACACGCACACATAGCTACACACACACACACACACACACACACACACACACACACACACACACACACACACACACACACACACACACACACCACCCACCCACACACACAAACACACACACACAAAACCACAAAGCATACAGCAAAACAACAACTGACACAAAATCCCATGCTTTCTAAATTGAGAGAAAATTTTCAAAAATCCCCCGTTTCTGAACACGCATTCAAAGCCCTCCCCCCTCCCCCCCTCCTTTTTCCTCTTATTACAACGAAGACCCAGAAGTTCCATTGCGGTTTTCCTCGCATAACGAACCCTCGTGCAAAGCGACCGCGAGCACAAAGCACAAACGAGAACAAACATTAAAAACATTCACACGAAATAATTTGTTGGAAGAACGGCGATTAAATGGTAAGGAAAATAACGAAGGGAAGAACAAGAGAACACAACGAAGGGAAGAACAAGAAAACACAACGAAGGGAAGAACAAGAGAACACAACGAAGGGAAGAACAAGAAAACACAACGAAGGGAAGAGAACACACAACGAAGGGAAGACAAGAACACAACGAAGGAAGAACAAGAAAACACAACGAAGGGAAGAACAAGAACACAACGAAGGAAGAAAAGAGAACACCAACGAAGAGAAGAACAAGAAACACAACGAAGGGAAGAAAAGAACAGAAGGGAAGAACAAGAAAACACAACGAAGGGAAGAACAAGAAAACACAACGAAGGGAAGAACAAGAGAAGAAGGGAAGAACAAGAACACACAAGAAGAAGGGAAGAACAAGAGACACAGAAGGGAGAACAAGGAAGGGAAGAAAAGAACACACAAAGGGAAGAACAAGAAAACACAACGAAGGGAAGAACAAGAACACACAACGAAGGGAAGAACAAGAAAACACAACGAAGGGAAGAACAAGAAAACACAACGAAGGGAAGAACAAGAACACGAACAAAGGAAGAACAAGAACAAACGAAGGGAAGAACAAGAAGAAGGGAAGAACAAGAAAACACAACGAAGGGAAGAACAAGAGAACACAACGAAGGGAAGAACAAGAAACACAACGAAGGGAAGAACAAGAGAACACAAGGAAGGGAAGAACACAACGAAGGGAAGAACAAGAAACACGAAGGGAAGAACAAGAAAACACAACGAAGGGAAGAACAGAAAACACAACGAAGGGAAGAACAAGAGAACACCGAAGGGAAGAACAAGAAAACACAACGAAGGGAAGAACAAGAAAACACAACGAAGGGAAGAACAGAAAACACAACGAAGGGAAGAACAAGAAAACACAACGAAGGGAAGAACAAGAAAACACAACACAACGAAGGGAAGAACAAGAAACACACGAAGGGAAGAAAAGAAACAAACGAAGGGAAGAACAAGAAAACACAAACGAAGGGAAGAACAAGAAAACACAAGAAGGGAAGAGAACACAACGAAGGGAAGAACAAGAAAACACAACGAAGGGAAGAACAAGAAAACACACGAAGGGAAGAACAAGAAAACACAACGAAGGGAAGAAACAAGAAACACAACGAGGGAAGAACAAGAAAACACAACGAAGGGAAGAACAAGAAAACACAACAAGGGAAGAACAAGAGAACACAACGAAGGGAAGAACAAGAAAACACACGAAGGGAAGAACAAGAAACACAACGAAGGGAAGAACAAGAAAACACAACGAAGGAAGAACAAGAAAACAAAAACACATAAACGAAGGGAAGAACAAGAAAACACAACGAAGGGAAGAACAAGAAACAAACAGGGAAGAACAAGAAGAAGGGGAAGAACACAACGAAGGGAAGAACAAGAAAACACAACGAAACACACACAACGTAGGGAAGAACAAGAACACAACGAAGGGAAGACAAGAAAACACAACGAAGGGAAGAACAAGAAAACACAGACGAAGGAGAACAAGAACACAACGAAGGGAAGAACAACAACGAAGGGAAGAACAAGAAAACACAACGAAGGGAAGAAAAACAAAGGAAGAACACACAACGAAGGGGAACAAGAAAACACAACGAAGGGAAGAACAAGAAACACAACGAAGAAGAACAAGAAAGAACACAAACGAAGGGAAGAACAAAGAAAGAAGAACACACAACGAAGGGAAGAACAAGAAAACACAACGAAGGGAAGAACAAGAACACACAACGAAGGGAAGAACAAGAAAAACAAAGGGAAACACACAACGAGGGAAGAACGAGGAAGGGAAAACAAGAGAACAAAGGGAACAAGAGAACACAACGAAGGGAAGAACAAGAAAACACACACACGCGAAGGGAAGAACAAGAACACAACGAAGGGAAGAACAAGAAAACACAACGAAGGAAGAACAAGAAGGGAAGAACAAGCACACGAAGGGAAGAACAACAACGAAAGAACAAGAAGAACAACAAGAACAAGAAAACACAACGAAGGGAAGAACAAGAAACACGAAGGGAAGAACCACAACGAAGGGAAGAACAAGAAAACACAACGAAGGAAGAACAAGAAAACACAACGAAGGAAGAACAAGAAGAAGAAAACACAACGAAGGGAAGAACAAGAAAACACAACGAAGGGAAAACAAGAGAACACAACGAAGGGAAGAACAAGAGAACACAACGAAGGGAAGAACAAGAAAACACAACGAAGGGAAGAACAAGAGAACACAACGAAGGGAAGAACAAAAAAAGGCCTTCGACATATTCGTGTTTTTTTTTTTTTGTTCTTTCCTTCTTTGTGTTCTCTTGTTCTTCCCTTCGTTGTGTGTTCTTGTTCTTCCCTTCGTTGTGTTCTCTTGTTCTTCACTTCGTTGTGTGTTCTCTTTTTCTTCCCTTCGTTGTGTGTTCTCTTGTTCTTCCCTTCGTTGCGTTTTCTTGTTCTTCCCTTCGTTGTGTGTTCTCTTGTTCTTCTCTTCCTTGTGTATTTCCTTGTTCTTCCCTTTACATGCTTCCTTTACACACAATGTCATTCAATTTCCTTATATTTATACGTTTTATCAACAATGCCATTCAGTCTTCCTGACTTTTGTACGAGTTAACTACACTATCATTCAGTGTTCCTAACTTTTGTACCTTTTATTTACAAATTTCATTCCTTCCTCCTACGTTTTATTTACAAATATCACTGTTTTCCTAACCAGTGTACGTTTTATTTACAAATATCACTGTTTTCCTAACCAGTGTACGTTTTATTTACAAATATCACTGTTTTCCTAATCTGTGTACGTTTTATTTACAAATTTCCTTTCTTCTTCCTACCTTTTCTACGTTTTATTTACAAAAATCACTGTTTTCCTAATCTGTGTGCGTTTTATTTACAAATATCAATGTTTTCCTAATCTGTGTACGTTTTAAACAAATATCACTCAGTTTTCCTAATCTGTTTACGTTTTATTTACAATTATCGTTCCTTCTTCCTACCTTTTGTACGTTTTATTTACAGATTTCATTGTTTTCCTAATCTGTGTACGTTTTAAAGAAATACTGTTTTCCTAATCTGTGTACGTTTTAAACAAATACTGTTTTCCTAATATGTGTACGTTTAAAAGAAATATCACTGTTTTCCTAATCTGTGTACCTTTTATTTACAAATTTCCTTTCTTCTTCCTACCTTTTGTACGTTTTATTTACAGATTTCATTGTTTTCCTAATCTGTGTACGTTTTAAACAAATATCAGTTTTCCTAATCTGTGTACGTTTTAAAGAAATATCACTGTTTTCCTAATCTGTGTACGTTTTATTTACAAATATCGTTCCTTCTTCCTACCTTTTCTACGTTTTATTTACAAAAATCACTGTTTTCCTTACCTTGACGGCGTTGGTGAAGTAATACACAATATATGTCACGAAGGCAGTCAGTCCCAAAGTTGTTCCAGGATAATAGAGACAGAGCATTAACCAGTCCACCATTGTGTTCCTTCTCTTGTTCCACTCTTTCTATAGTACTTCTTCTGTTTTACTTAATTTCTTCTTATGTTCTCTCTTTTTCCCGGTTCGTGTACTTGTGGGAGGGATCCTTCTCTCTCTCTTCTTTCTTTTTATTTTCTTTCTTCTTCCCCGATTCATATACTTTATATGATTCACCGATATATTCCTTCTTTTTTCTCCTATTTCTTCTTGTCCTCTCCTAGTCGCTACTTCTCGCTATATCCTTCCTCTTCTCCTGTTATCTCTCTTTCTCTCATTCCTCCCTTCGTTCTCTCTGTTTCTTCAAATTCTCTGCTTCTCCCCTTTCCTGTTGCTTTACATAGGCTGGAGGACACCTGTGGCGAGCTTATGGCCTGTCGGGGAGTAAACAGTGATAGATAGGCCTATATATTACAGATTGAGTTTGCTGAAGTCTTTGGAGGGATTCGTGTGCACTTGTGTGGGTGGTGGGTGGGTGGAGGGCGGGTTGGTTGTGGGTGTATATGTGTGTGTATGATTGTAAGGTATATATGTGTGAGTGTGGGCTGTGTGTGTGTGTTTGGGTGTGTGTTTTTTGAAAGGGGTATGAATATGAGTGTGTGTGTGTGTGTGTGCGTGTGTGTGTGTGGTGGTGTGTGTGTGTGTGGTGTGTGTGTGTGTGTGTGTGTGTGTGTGTGTGTGTGTGTGTGTGTGTGTGTGTTGTGTGTGTGTGTGTGTGTGAAAATGGGTATGTTTTAATGAGTACATGTGTGTATGTGTGAGTGTGAGTGTGTGTGATAACTAACAATTTCACACAGTTATGAAATGAATATAGTGATGTTTTTTATGACCATAATGCTGATGATAATAATGATCATGATAGCAAACTTTAAATAATAAAAGTGAATATAAAGATGAAAATCATAATGGTAATAACAATAATGATAACAGTAATATTTAACCGATATTGAAGATATGATTAACATGATATAAATACGTATCATGTTCTGTGAAGATACTCATGCTCATTCATTCTCATTGTCGCATTAACCACGATTAAACAAAATATAGTCAATGTTATAACAACGATAAATACAACATCCCACAATATGAAAGGTTTTACAACACAAACTCCATCAGAAGGACGAAGACGGTGCCTACGAAATACGAATTATAACATAAGGTTTGAACTAGCCAATGAAAACGGAAGAAAAACAGAAAAAAAACTTGACAAACTAGGGAACAAGCTCCTTCACGTCATCTTGGCAACACACAAACACCCCCACACTACACACACGCATGATAAATAACTAAAACGTCACGCTATTTATTGCTCTATTTATTGTCGGGTTTGCACGTGTCAATCGATAGATCAGGTGACAGAGGGAGGTGAAAGGGAGAGGGAGAGGGAGAGGAGAGGGAGAGGGAGAGAGAGAGAGAGAGAGAGAGAGAGAGAGAGAGAGAGAGAGAGAGAGAGAGAGAGAGAGAGAGAGAAGAGAGAGAGAGAGGGAGAGGGAGAGGGAGAGAGAGGAGAGAGAGAGAGAGAGGGAGAGGGAGAAGGGAGAGGGAGGGAGAGGAGAGAGAGAGAGAGAGAGAGAGAGAGAGAGAGAGAGAGAAGAGAGAGAGAGAGAGAGAGAGAGAGAGAGAGAGAGAGAGGAGAGCGAGAGCGAGAGAGCGAGAGGGAGAGGGAGAGAGAGAGAGGGAGAAGGAGAGGGAGAGGGAGAGAGAGAGAGAGAGAGAGAGAGAGAGAGAGAGAGAGAGAGAGAGAGAGAGAGAGAGAGAGAGAGAGAGAGAGAGAGAGAGAGAGCAGGGAGGGGGGGGGGAGGGGGGGGACGGGAGAGGAGGGGGATGGAAGGGGGGAGGGGAAGGGAAGGAAGAAATGAACACAACACACACACACACAACACACACACACACACACACACACACATACACACACACACACACACACACACACACACCACACACACATATAATATAATATATATATATATATATATATATATATATAATATATATATATATACAGAGAGAGAGAGAAGGGGAAAGGTAGAGGGAGATAGATAGAGAGTGAGGGAGAGAAGGGGGGGGCACCTCTTTCAAACATTTAAGGTACTGTACCCATTTATACAAACATGACATCTACCACACAGGTCATAAGAAAGAAAATAGTGCGAATAAATATCAAGAAAGAAAAAAAAAAAATACAAACTTGCAACTCACCGGATTCTAGACTACTTCGATTCGCCAAATCTCTTTTATATTCTGATCGAATGATACTCCATACCTCTATTTACATACATTTGGTATTTATAAAATTCTGTAGAATATCATTTTATTGCTTTACAACATTTTAGTATATTTTTTTCGTGTTAGAGCCCGGGGTGAGTTGCCAATTATCTCTTTATTGGGTATATATAGGTCTACCAAAAAGTAAATTCAACATGAAACTAAATCGAAGAATCCACATGACATACATACTCATAACAACCTCATACACATCTTACTCCACTGCAAAATGTATAAAATAAAGCTTCAAAAACCCTATATAACCCACAATCAAATAGAATCCACACAAACCATCTTTTTTGCATCTAACAGCCGGTTTGTTAAAATTGTGCCAGGCCCGACCCAACGAATTTTCCTAAAGACAGATGCAGAAATAAAGGCATATCTGTCTATATATCTGATAGATAATACATTTAACCATCTATTTGATATGCATGTCTAGACTGATAAATACGCATTCTTTATTTATGCATGTCAAGTATACGAATATTCTTTGGGTCGGGCCTCCCACAATTCAAAAAAAAAAAAAAAAAAAAAAAACGGCCGTAAATAACAACTACAAAATAACACTTTCTACGAACCGTCACGGAAAGATACTCAACGTTGTATAAACGAATGATTTATTTAGCAGATTTATGATTTATTTATTCATATAGCAGAATGCCTTTAGACCTACGCCATGCAGGTTTTCACACACTAGGTTAACGACCTGTGGCGAGTCCTCCCTTGTTTTTTTGTATTCTGCTAAACTTTGATGCTTATTTATTTATTTATTTATTTATTTATTGTAGGATTTATAGTTAGTATTGCATAATGTGAAGCTGGATCACGTAGATGATTAGTCACAGCAAAAAAATAGGAATGATCAGTTTTGTACAGCGAGAGAGGGAGAGGGGAAAGAGAGAGAGAGAGAGAGAGAGAGAGAGAGAGAGAGAGAGAGAGAGAGAGAGAGAGAGAGAGAGAGAGAGAGAGAGAGAGAGAGAGAGAGAGAGAGAGACAGAGACAGAGACAGAGACAGAGACAGAGAGAGAGAGAGAGACAGAGACAGAGAGAGAATCTACGACCACCAGTACAACTAAAAACATCAATAATAATCAGAATTAAAATAATAACGGCAATAAAAACAATCTGGTGAAGCAGACGAGAAGTAACAACAAAAACGATCATTTCTAACCTCTACTTTTCTCAGAACAAAACAATCTTTTGCAACAAAAACACTTGGGAATTTTCCATGAATATCTGTCGATTTTTCTCAGTGACAACCGTTCTACGATGTTATATATAAGAATATATATATATGTATATATATATATATATATATATATATATATATATATACATATATATATATATATATGTATATATATATATTTGATGCACTCTTGTCGAATGTCATCTATATTGACTGCGGGTGAAGTTCTATTGTTTATTTATTTTTTTGTTTCTCCCCTTTCCCCTTCTTAGGCGCGCGTGTGTGTGCTTGCTTCTCTCTCTCTCTCTCTCTCTTCTTTGTCAGTCTGTCTGTCTGTCTGTCTCTCTCTCTCCTACCCGCTTTCTCTCTCTCTCTCTCTCTCTCTCTCTCTCTCTCTCTCTCTCTCTCTCTCTCTCTCTCTCTCTCTCTCTCTCTCTCTCTCCTCTGCTCTCTCTCGTCCTGTCTCTGTCTCTGTCTCTGTCTCTGTCTCTGTCTCTCTCTCTGTCTCTCTCTCTCTCTCTCTCTCTCCCCTTCCTCAGCGATTCCCTTGCCAAACTGTTAATAACTGATGATAAATTTGACAGGTTTATGAATTTTATTTGAAATGCGGACATCTATCCCGCCAGTTATGAACGGTCTCATGAAATACACCTTCGATTAATTGACTATAATAGTGATGATGATGGTGAATGTGATGATAATGATGGTAGCGATGATCATATGATGATGATGGTGATTATGATAAAGGTGATGATGATGATAATGATGGTAGTGATGATCATATGATGATGGTGATGGCAATGATGTTGGTGATGATGATAATGGCACTGGTGATGATGAAGATGGTGATGAGGATGATAACAATGGTGATAATGACGGTGATAATGATAATGATTTGTAGGCCTACATGCAATACTTCCATCCATTTCACTTCAAGAAAATAACAAATATAAACAAGATGAAGAAAATCAATAACCTAAAAAAAAATGACGAATGTGATTACTATAGCATGTGGTTTTTTGATGAATTTTTGACGTTTTACCTTTCTTGAAAATTCGAGATATATTTTTATCTTACGAAGAA